CTCCTCCTCCTCCTCCTCCTCTTCCTCCTCCTCCTCCTCCGCCTCCCTCTCCTCCTCGACTCGACTCGACTCGACTAAGGGCTGTGCAAAGTTGCCCGTGCCAAGAGGGAAAAGAGAAAGGGTGCATGCACATGCATTCGTGCAGGGGAAGGAAGGCAGCAGCAGCGGACAGAGAACCACCTACGAAGGCAGCCAGCGCACCACGGGGCGCCCCCCAGGAAAGGGCGAGGCAGGAGCCACCGCGGCGAAAACCCCACTGGGCGCGGTCGAGGGAGGCCACGACCCATCGGCGAGACAGGCGGGGGAGGGGAAGGCGTCGAGAGCTCCCACGGAACGACCAGGGACGCGGCGCGGGAAGGGACCGAGGCTGGAACAAACGTCCGACATCAGACCAGAGAGGAGCGCCGCCGTGCGGTCCTGGCCTTCAAGGAACCAGGATCCTTCGTCCTCCCCCGTCCTGCGCGCAAAACAGAGAGGAGCCTGCCTTCTTCTCCTGCTGGGGGCGGGAGGACAGGGGGAGGGGAGGGGGAGGGGGGAGGGACAGGTGAAGCCGAGGCGGAGCTGCCTCAGTCCACACTCCCACGAACGAGTCGGCCACTCTTTCCCAAACGACTTCAGGAAGGGCCAGCATTTGTTGCACCTGCGCGGGCAGACACAAGGCAGCTCTCGAGGTCGGCGCCTCGGTACGGCAAGGGGTATGGATAGACCACACAGCAGGCACTTGCCTGTCGACAGCGGCCAAAAAAAGGCGAGCAGCGGCACGGACCCAAGTGTTCTCTCCCCCGAGAATCTCGCGGGCAGCTTCAGAGGCCCAAGGGACCCCCCACTTGAACCTGGAGTCACGCCACGAGCTAACAACTAGATGGGGTTCGGGAGGACGGTAGGCCATTTCCCAAGACATCCTATCACCGAGAACGCAGAGGCCAGCAACGAATCCTTCTTCGATGGCATGCTGAATGCTTAGAACTAAATCGAGATCCAGCGTGAACTTCTGCGGCTGGCTGGTCCAATCCGCGATGACACGCACCTCGATCCCGATGTCGCTGAAATGCTCACAGAACCAAGAGGACAGGGAGACAAACAAATCGTAGGAGGGAACGAGGATAACGACATAGGATCTCCCCTGAAGAGAAGGGATCCTGGGCACCGTGGGGTCTTGCGAGGCACGCGTGGGCTCCTCCACAGAGACAGACGGAACCTCAACCGGCAACGCGCGAGGAGCCACAACGACAGGGCGGAAGGGGGCACCATGCACTTTGCGAGATGGGACGTGAGCGAAACACTCGCTGAGACCTTTGGATCTGTTGTCGCTCTTGACACGTTTTCTGTCCTCAATGGCTTCAACCAACTCCGAGGGGGAGGGGCGGAGCGGGGAGGAGGCCCAAGCCAGCCTACAACCTTGAGCGCCCTGAACATGTTTCAGAAGCCTCGCACCATCCCAAAATTCGGTAACGCAGAAGGGGCACACAGTGCCCGTGACAAAATTGGTAGGGCTCTCAGAGGTCTTATGGGTCTTACCCACATGAACCTTGATAGTCTTGGGGTCGTTCGTCGTGAACCCACACGTGTAGCAAAGGTATTTGACGATGGGAGGGGAGGACAATTGCGCACCAGCATTGAGAGTGGGGGGTTCACCTGGGGTCTGACCTTCCACATCCTGAGTGGCAGGGCGCACAGCAACCATGGGCGTGCGCTCTTCTGCTTCAAAGTCTGTGTCTGGTCTTGACTGCTTGAGCTGCTTGACCCAGTGCTCGTGCTCTAAGTCCTCAACGAAAAAATGCTTAGCCGCCTTCGCAGCCTTGGCCACAAGGCCTTTGAAAACGCCTGGCATGCGGCGGGCAAGATCGAGGAGTTCTTCGATGTACTCTTGGTCACTTTGATTCGTGGGAAAACGAAAACGTCGCATCCACAGCATATCAGCTTGAACAAGCTGGGGCCAACACTTCGGCACACTCCAGAGAACATCGATCGACACTCTCACAGCTGGCGGGGCGCGAAGCAGTATGCTAGGGAGCATGCGCAATCTGGCAACCGACAAAACTTGGTCGATGGCCAATCGTTGGGTTCTGAGGTAGACCATAACATTGGAGTCCTGGTCCCTGGTGTGATTTCGGAGGCCCTTGTTAGCAGCCGTGCGATACACCTGGGAATGGTAGGCACGGAGCTTCCTAGCAAGGAAATCAGGGATGTCATCCCGAACTCCAGCCGCATAAAGAAAACGAGTAGCCCCGAGCGTTTCAGCGTACCGAACCTTAGTTTGAATCGAGAGGAGCGGGGAGGGGGACACAACCTTCTTGATGGGTCGGAGAGCACCAACCATGGACGCGTTCCTGGCACATATGTCCCTGCCGATCCCCCCATTGGCAGACACAAGCACACCCAAAATCTTATGGACTTGAACGACGTCGATGTGTACGTCAAGAGCAGGAAGATGAATCCTGGGCGGGAGGGAACCAAACAAATTGCGAGAAGCCGCCTTAGCCCCAAGTCCTCTAAAACATAACAGGGTTTTGGTTTGAGCACTGTTAACGATAAGCCCACGCTTGCCTACAGAGTCATGGATAATTCTGAAGACCTTCGAAAGTTGATGAACGATCGTGTTGGCTGGTCCGCCCACAAGGACCGTTAGATCATCAACAAAAGAGAAATCCGCCACTGGATCCTGCCAGTCTTGGGGCCTGGAAGCATGATGGGGAGCAGGAGGGGCCTGCCAGCTGAGATCTTCCGCTTTCATGCGCTCTTGTATTTCGCGAAGGGCACTGGAAAACACCAAGTTAAAAACATCCCCCGCTAAAATGGAGCCAGGGCGCGACCCCACAGACGGAGCAACCCACGACGCCGAAAGGCCAAGCTTCCACATGGAACCTGATTGCGATTCCTGCAGTAAGAACAAGATGCGCTCCGTGTCGACCTGGGCCTCGAGAAGGGGGGGTCACCAAGTTGGGCCCTGACTCCTTCCTGCAGGAAAGGGGTGAGCTCCATAGTTTCCAGGGCGTGAGCAAGGGAAGTCTCTTCACGTGGGAGCGCCAAGGCCACCTGCTTCACAGCAGCATAGAAGGCAGCAACAAGACCAATGCACAAGGCACCCGCACTTTGTTTAGTCTGCTTCGTAGCATGCCAATGCAGCCGAATTCCCAGCAAGGCGCGTTCGACTCCTTTTCCCTGGATGCCACCCACCTGCGTGCACAAAAGAGAAGCATAAATGAAGTCTGTGGTTTTCTGACGTAAGAAACGATGATGCATCTTGGAGATCGCGTTGCATTTATGAATATTGCGCTGCGCGGCAGCCGCCCAAACATCACCACTGCCTTTGTGAAAAAAAGGCAACCTCCCCGAGCTTGAACCCCAAAGGCTCACGGCAATGCGCAGCTGCTTTGACCAGGATGGGGGCAAAAACCTCGGACAACCCACAAGGATCAGCTTTAAACAACTCGTCTCGGAAGAAATCAGGCCCCGCGCTGCGGTGGGCCTGAGCCTTGCTGAACAAAAGCTGCAAATCGAAGGGAGAGGGAATCGCCTCAATACATCGGGCGAGGGGGCCCAAGGGATTTATTCTACACTCGTCGTTATACTTACTGACACCTTCACAGTACGAGAGCTCCTTGGCCCGTTCTATCTTCGCAAAATGAACTTGCACTATTTCATGGACCTGTTCAGGGGTGCGGGCGGGCTTTCCTTGACAATCCAACATAAACGGGAAACTCGGAGCTTGTTTTGGCGCTCGTCCAGCGAAACGCAAAACACGGGAGAGATGGTTCCACTCACACTGCGGGGCCCGTCCGTCGATGCCGGCCCTGACACTTGCCAGTTCTTTCTGCAGCAAGGCGTCTTTATCCAACTGAAAAGAACGAGCCAAAAAAATCGGACTTGCCTAGAAACATGCTCTGAAGACGAAGCATGAAGATGTCAGCTCTAATGTCCTTGGGGTCAGCACGGCGCGCAGAGATAACAAATTATTTGGCGCATCCGCCGAGGTCTTCGAATATTCGCTTCCATTCCTGCATGATCGTCTGGTAAGTCCTAGGCAACTGCAAGGCGATGTGGGGGGGCAGCTCAAAAACTTCATAACAAGAACCGCCATGCGACCCCGCAGACAAAAGGTCTGGAGGTAACCCCAGGATCTCCGTAACTTGGCTAAGCCACTCCTGACTTTCCGTGTGCCCAAGTGACGACACTGACAGATCCCCTTTCCAAAGGCGGCAAGCAAAACGGCGAAGGGTATCAAGTTTCTGGGAGGACTGGAGAGCGCCACTGGCTTTCATTAACACCCTCTTAATGCCCCTCCTGACCCGAAGAAAGGGAGCGATTCGACACATAGGGGGGTTGGGTGGAACGCACATCATTGGGGAAGGCCTCCGCGGCCGCCGACATAACCTGATCCTGAACCGTGCTCAAGTGG